AGCAAGCTTTTCTAAGATTGCATTTCATTAGAGCAAGGCTCTTCAGCTCAGATGAAGCAGCCCCTTGCCTAAGCTGCTGAACATATTAAGCAACACCTGAAGTGTCTAATTTTTTTTTTCAAAATCCAGTAGGTTTTTCAGCTTTCTTCGTTTCCAATCATCCCAGTTGACTTTCTAATCACACTTTTTGTTGTTGTTCAGTAGTTTTTCAGTTGTGTCCAGCTCTTCATGACCTCTTTGGGGTTTTCTTGGCAAAGATACAGGAATGGTTTGCCATTTCCTTCTCCAGCTCATTTTACAGATAAGGAAACGGAGGCAAACAGGGTTAAGTGACTTGACTAGGGTCACACAGCTAGAAAGTGTTTGAGGCCAGATTTGAACTCAGGAAGATGAGTCACTTTGACTCTAGGCCTTGGCACTCTATCTCCTTTGTCACCTAGCTGCTATAGATTTTGCAAATCAAAATGGATATCAAAATGGATATTAAATAAAAATGAATTTCATTACACTTCCAACTTTCAGGCTTCAGTCAACTCTCAATTACCTGTGAGAAGCTCTTCATTCTAGACTGGTTTCTGCTTCCCACCCAGCATCTTTCAAGGCCAAGTCAAGAAAAGTCAATAACCATTTATTAAGCACCTACTATATGCCAAGCTCTGTGCTTTTAAGTTCTGGGGATACAAACAAAGGTAAAAGCAGTCCCTGCTCTCAATGAATTCACAATCTGATAGAGGAAACAATATGCAAATAGCTATGGAGAAACAAGATATACAAGATAAACTAGCCTTAAGATTAAGGAGGACCATAAAAGGCTTCTTATGGAAGGTGGGACTTAGCTGACATCTGAAAGAAGCCAGGAGGCAGAGACGTGGAGGGAGAAAATTCCAAGCATGGAGGCCAGCCCTTGAAAATAAACAAAGTGGGGATGGAAAGCCATGTATAAGGAATAGCAAGGGGGCAAGAATCTTTGAATCACAGAGTATAAAGAGGGGAATACGGTTTAATGAGACTGGAAAGCTAGGAAACAACCAGATAGATTCTCCATGATTTTGTGCATTGTTGCGTGTTTTGAAAAGTAATGTTAATATTAGCCTAAGACAGACAAAAGAAAAAAAGCAAATCCAGTGAAAGAAAAGAAAACCCAGGATACATGCAAACTCACTACAGAAATTATATATGGTCAAATCAAACATGAACGATTTCTGGATTTTCTGTTACATTAAACTTTATGCCACAGCTCTCCTCTAGGAGTATAGATACTGATTGACGATGCTGATTTTGGATGAGTTAGTAATGAAATGGTCCCAAGGAGATTAGGACTCAAAAGATACTAAGTACAAACCTGGAGAAGTCATTTCACCAGAACCGGCCTTAGTCTATAAAACGAGAACACATCTACTAACATCTTCTAGCTCCAGATCTATGATCCTAATGTCCTAGTATCCAAAAGCTAAATAGATATTCAACTTAAAGCATTCCTATTATAGTTGCAATTAATTTGTCTAGGTACTCTTTCAGGTAACAGAACCCAGGAGAATCTCTGGATCCAATGAATCTGAGCAGATTAAATCATTTCTAGATTTTGGTCATGGGTAGGTAAGAGTCTGGGACTCTGGGTCGGTGCTCAGCAGACTAAAGGGTATCTCATTTGATTTCAAATTGAATCCATGGGAACATGTACCACTAGGATCCCTCCAAAACCAATTTTGTCCAGGGAAACAATTAGGTGTCTTAAAGGCACCTTGAAGTCAGAAAATAGAATCAGAATCAAAAATCACAGTGTTTGAGAAAGATGGGATGTGCTATTTTAACAGATGAGGGAACAGATCCAAGAGAGAGGGTACCTTCTCCAAGGTCATAAAGTGGGAGAGCTGGGACTTGAACCCAGGTCTTTCGGATTCTAAATCAAGAGCTCTTTCTGCCATACCTGAGTTTGAATTCTGGCTCAATCATTTACTTGCTGTTAGGTCAGTCATGAATATACCTCCCAGAGCCTGATGTAAAAGAGAGACAATATTTAACGCTACTGACCTTACCAGGTGATTGTGAGGATTGGCTCCCATATACATAAAATCCTCTCTAAACATTAAAGTGCTAATGAATGTAAGTTTAAAATTGTTATTTATTCAGATAAGGGATGTTTCAGAACTGGTACAGAGCTCCCAGGGTTGTTGTTATTGGAAGGTGGCCTCAGGAAGTGATCTTAGTCCAGGGCAAACCTGACCTAAAACAAAAAGGCTTTGCCAAAACTACACAAGCTTCAGGGAAGTACTGCATTTAACCCTCATTAACTTCAGGCCATCACCCTTCCATTCAGTTGTCACAGAAACCTAGCATCCCTTTCTGGCACAGTTACCTGATATCCTCAGTATTCATTTTCCTGGCTGTGAAAATGGAATACTGTCACTAACTCACCTCAAAAGAGAGGTAGCATAATGTAGTAAACAGCCCTGCCAAAGTTCAGATACTGCCTTTGACGATGATTAGCCATGTGACCATGGACAAGAAACAATAATGATAATAGCTAACATTTATTATGCCTGGCACTGAGTTAAGTGCTTTACAAATATCTCACTTGAACCTCACAACCACCCTGGAAGCAGGTGCTATGATTATTCCCATCTTACAGATAAGGAAACTGAGGCAAACAGATTAAGTGACTCGCCCATGGTCATGCAGGTAGAAAGTATCTGTGGCCAAATCTGAATTCAAGTTTTCCTGATTCCTGCCCCACAGTTCTATCCACTGCACCACCTAGCTGTCTAGGTCACTTAATTCAGTTCAACAAGCATTTATTATGAATTTATTAAGTGCCTACTATGTGCCAGGCACTGTGCTAAGTACCTACACTGTGATAGATACTGAAGTAGGAGCAGAAGATACAAAGGCAAAAATTAAATAGTACTTTCCAACTTTTCTGAGACCCTTTACCCATCTGTAAAATGAGGTTAATAAAACCTATAAGACTAACATACAGGGTTGTTGGGAGTATCAAATGAGTAAATGCATATAATTTGCAAACTTTTAAGTGCTAGACAAATGTCACTTATTATAATTTTAAACATTAATAAACTTTTCTTTGTCTCTTAGAACAAGATGCTCTCCCCCTGCTAGACTCAGTTTATTTGTGTGTAAGGTTTCAAAGAGACACACAAAAGAAATGTGCCTAATATCTGCAGAGCACTTCTATGTTTCTAAAGTGCTTTGGTAGCTACTGTTACATTTCAACACGATGACATTGCTGATGACATTCCTGTTTGACATGGTAGGGCAGGTATTGTTATTTCCATTCTATTGATGAGGCAACTGAAGAGCAAAGAGGTCAGGCAAACTGTTCAAGTTCACAAAGCTAGTAAAAGCTACAAATAGATATTTATGTCATACACACATTATATACATAATATATACATATACTTGCACATATACACACCTATGTCTACATATATGGAATTAAGTACCCTTTCCCTAACAACTCTTCATTTTCTCCAATATTAGAGGTACAGGATGGAATTCAGAAACTAATTTAAATCTTTTCTCCTATTCAACCCTTTACAGGCTACTAACAGCACAAATTACCATTTTAAATTTTGCCTCCTCTTTCTTTTCCTCCCAAAGTTTTTTTTTATAAGATAATCGATCACCAATGAAATACACATACATATCCACAAATGCAAACACACAAAATAGGGCAACAAGATGGATAAGGAAGAAGTATTAGGAATCCATAACCTGGGTAACTAATTCCTAAATAGTGTCTCAAGTGAGATAACATAAGATGTAAAGATCCTTTCAGGCCTTAAAGTGCTATTTATTATTGTTATTGTTCACATATTTTATTTTCTAAATTTTGCTCCCCTGCTAGACATTCTTCCCTAGTAGGGATTGTGGCAAGAAATGGGCTGCAGTCAGGAGACCAGTACCCCAAGCCCTCACCACTCATTCATCCCAAGCTGGAACTCTTGGTTTCCCTCTTTTTAATTAGTTCCCTGCTTTTGGCTTGCTCACTATCACACCACAGTCCTTCCTTCTTTGGGAGCTGTGGAAGGCTTCCTCCATGAAAAGTGTCCTATACCTTGGTACCAGAGTTTCTGGATTTCCCCTTTTCGGCTTCTCTCTACCCCAGGTACCCCTCCCCCTTTTCCTATGAGAAGCTTTGGGAGATGGAGAAAGGAGGTCATCATTTCTCAGTCGTGTAAGGAAAGGAGGGTTGGGGTCCCGATTAATGCACTGAATTAGAGGTACTGATTAGGAAATTGCAGAGCTGAACGTGGTGCTTGCTTTCCTTTAAAACAAAATAAAACATTACCCACCTCTCCCACCAAACTACCATTAACAATAGTCCACTAAAGTATTATGCTTAAGTACCATCCTGGTACAGAGGCGACCCTGCCTCCTAGAAGCTCAAGTTTTGGCAGGTTCTCCCAAACTGGCAAGGCTTCAATTAACAGGCCCAGCCAAGGCTCTGTATCTTTTGCCGGAGGGCCAGCCGGCTAAAGTCCGAGAGGTTCATTACCAGAAGCTGGATGCCTAGTGATGAGGATTTTCGTTTTTCCTTTGGCCACAGAAATTCACGAAATTAAAGCGTGAAGGGGTCATGATTTGCACAGACGGGGGAAATACTGGCCCCATGAACTCATAGATCTTTAAAAGTATATAAGCAGGAGAAAAAAACAACAACATTGATCGTTCCCTGAAGCCTGGGTTGGATGGCTTTGAGTCACAGGTCGGCGGTGGCAGCAGCCCATTTTCCCTCCGGGTGCTCCCTCGCTTCTCCCAGCGGTTCTCACCGCCGGGCTCTAGGCTTTGGTCCCGGGGAGGTTAAACAGCAGCATGTGTGTAAAATGTGTACGTGTGTGTTAGTTTATAAATGTATATGTGTTACTGCGTGTGTGCGTGCGTATGCGTATGTGGCCGGGAGCTTCTAACAGGACCAAGCCTGGCCAAGGTCCTCCTGCATCCTAACCCCAGCCCCGGTCCCTGCGCCCAGTCCAGGTCCTTACCTGTAGCGGGGCGAGCAGGACGCACAGCCCGAGAAGCTGGAGGAGGCGGTGGAGGGGCCGCCGCCGGCAAGACGGGGCCATGGCGCGCACCCGCGCCTGTTCCCTCTAGCGCCTTCCCGGTGGCACTGGCTGTCTCGCTGACACCCTCGCCCCACGTTCCCTGGAGCTCCCTCCCTCGGCCCTTCCCTCGCCACCTCCCCAGAAGCCCGCCGCGTGCAGTCTCTTTCTGCGGGCCGCAGCCACCTGTCCCCCAGGCGGGCGCTGCGGCGGTGCTGCGCCCACCCCCAGCCCTCCCACGCTCGCTCCTCCCAGAGGCCGATCGCTTAGCTACAACACCCCCTACCCCCAGCCCCTTATTTTCTGGAAAGGTGGAGATTCCTTGTAGATGTGGGCGTAGACGAGGGTGAGTGGGTGGGTGTGAGAGCAGGGGAAGACTTGACGCTCAGGGGACGTGCCTTGGCTTTCAGGAAAGTGAGGAAGTTGAGCTTGATTTAAAAAAAAAAAAGACTGGGGCATTAGGAAGGTTAGGTGGGGAGAAAAGGGAGGGATCGAAATATTAAAAAAAAAAAGGGAAGTACAGGTTTTGCTTTACTCAATCCTTCTCTTTGAGCTTTCCTGTCCCAGATAGTTCAAGTCCTGGCTCTTTAGCGTTACGAGCCTGAGCCCGCAGGTTTCACATATGCAGTGAAAACCCCCTTTAAAAACATTTTAAAAATAAACCAAACCAAAATATTTCCTGGGTCCTGAAATAAATAATACATAAGACAGTCCTAACTCCTTTACAGTTGTTGAGTGCTTTGTCTAAAGTAGAGGCAATGTAGGAATCATAGGGTCAGGATTCAAAAAACTTAGTGTCTTTGTGACCTCAGACAGGGTACTTAGTCTCTGGTTACACAAGTGGATGGGAGACTGGGGGTTGGGGGAGGTCATGATGTGTTTGATCGATTATATTACCTTATCCCCTAGATGAAACTAAGGGTGTCAGAATTTGAGTGTTTCCTTTGCATATGAAATGATCAGGAAGCTAGGCTGAGACCAATGAATTTACCTACAGATGTGGACTATTTAGGAGCCTCTTTTCCCACCCACTGATGTAGTGGATAAATGAAAAGACTCAGAGCTTTAAAATGGAGGTATAGACTGTGGTGTGGCAGATGAGTGGAGACTCAGCTTTTAGGAGACTTTGCGGGGTGGGGAATTTCTGTTCCCCCTGTATCATTGGCAAAAAACATCTTGCCACAGAAGTATATGGCCATAAGAGATACATGCTTGCTGGAAAGCTCACCTTCAATGGAGGGAGTATGACAGGGTCAGGGACAGGGACAGGAACACAGAGAGTAAGCAGGCTTTCCTGTGTTTTCCCTGTGTTGCTAGGCTAAGGAAGGTTTCTGGTCTTCTAGTTTCTGCCTAAATTAAAATCTCTGGCTTGTGCAATGGGAGAAAAAAAAGAACTGCAATACTCCAGTACATATGTAGTACAGGCCTGCACTGTCTTTCTGCACATGGCAGCTGCACTCTCTTTCTCCCTCTGGACTGGCTCACTCACCCCAAACTGTTCTTATATTGTTAGGTCTGCTTTTTTTTCCCCTGAGGGGGGGAATGACCACAGCCATGAAACTAAAATTCCCTCTCTTAGCATGCTGGGGGTAACCCTGATGTGGAGGTGATATACTGCTATAACTTACTGCTTTCACTCCTGAGTTCCCACAAGTGTTTTTTCCATTTACACAAAATCAATAATACTATTGATTCTTAAACATGAACATTTACGAAATGAGAATGTGAAAAGCAAGAGCAATTATAACATTTACTTAATAGAAGGCAAAAGCAAGAATAATCATTGCATTAATTTAACATAAGATAAGAGCAGGAATAACCAAAACATAATATTCCGCCCATAAAACTGAGTCATAGTCTCCCACAAATGCACACAGGGTCCATGGGGAAAAAGGGTGTACAGTTTTAGAAACCTAGTAGGGAGGTATGAGATTAAGGAAACCAATGTGCTCAGAGCAGCTCACAGCTCTATAAAGCAGGCCTTGATGTCCTTGGTCTGTTTAGAGGATGATCTGCACCAGGTACCATCAGCTGGGTAAGACAGCTTCTCTGCTGTTTGCTCCCTTCTGTTCCTCATAGCCCTCCCGCTGGACGAAGCTGTTTCTATGTTGTTCCCAGGCTTTTATTTTTTTAAAGCACACAGCCACCCTTGACAGGACACTGTGAGAGTGTTAAGCTATTTCAGTGACAAGCTGTTCTCTCAAACCACAGAACTGCCCTATTTCTCTGGGCAGGCTCCCCAGATCTCTCTGGAGCTCTGAGGGGTTTCTTCCTTTCAAATGGTCGTAGTGCTACACAGTCTTTTGCTAGACAGCTCTTCAAATAGACAGGATTCTATTTTGTCTGATCCACTCTTAGTAAAGCTATTTTGCTTCCACAACTGGCAGAGCAGATGCAAAGCCTTGCTTTCACCTTCTGTTTCTCCCTCTCAAACAACGGAGAACAGTAAAGGACAGGACAAGCAAATTGAGAGGCTTCTCCTCTCTCAAGCTAAAACTAACACTAGTGGGCATTTCTGTAGCCAATCAGCTCTCAACAGAGCAATACTTCTCTTCAGATCATAATGACTCCCAGCAAAACATATGCGAACCATGCCTTTCAGTTCAGCATCTCTTAGCTTCTGTCTTGTTTAGGAACCTTCTCTTGTTTCCTCTTTTTTCTTCTGTCCCCAGCTTCTCCTACTCTCTCCTGTTTATCTGGTCATCTCTTAACCTCTCTCTTGGCTTATAAGGCCTCAGACCAGTGTCTCTTTATCAGCAGTAGCTGATCTCTATGATGTGAAACAAAAAATCCACCTTTTTGTCATGGCTTACCCCAACAATCCTTATATGATCTTTCCACAGTCCCCAAACAGTTGTTTTCTTTAAGACACAGCTGAAATCTTATGGTTTGCAGGTAAGATATGCCTTTCCTCAGTTGTAGCCTTCAAAACTCTGAACACAGAATTATATATATGAGTTGATAAACCATAATGCACTACAGCTGTTTTAAACTCAGTGCTCTGCCTTCAAACAGATCTTCTCAATACAATTATCTGCAGGATAGTATTCTTTTAGCATCTCAAAACATTCTGTGTCTCCCCTTTAGCATTTTTGTTCAAGGGACTATGCTTCTTTTCAAGCTGATTCTATCACAAATTTTTTTTTGAAGCAGTTAGTTGGCATATTGGACAGTATATTGGAGTTGTAGGCAGGAAGACCTGAGTTCAAATCCTGCCTCAGACATTTACTAGCTGTGTGACCATGGGTAAGTCCCTTAGCATCTTTTATCCTCAGTTTTTACATCTATAAAATGAATATAATAACACTGCCTCATAGGGTTATTGTGAGGATCAAAAGGGATGATGTGTGGAAAGTGTTTTGCAAACTTTGAAGGCTATACAAATGCCATCTCTTATTGTTTTATTCCCATTTCAGCAAACAAAACATCTACCTAACAAAGGAGCAGGACATACTGAACTGGATGTTGTTCTGTAGGCGCCTCAAATTCAACGTATTCAAAACAGAACTCATCTTTCCCTCCAAAGCCTCCCCTTTTCCTCTCCTAATATTATGGAGAGCATAACCATCTTCACCTAGGCTTACCTCAGTGTCACCCTCAAGCCCTGATTTGCAAATCTGATTGTCAACTCTTGGCATTTCTTTTTACCTTTACAACATCTCTCCCATATCTCTCTTCTCCACTCAACATAGCCACCACCCTTGTACATAGCTTTCTAATTGGTTTCCCTGATTCAAGCCTCTCTCCACTCCCATCCATCCTCCACTCAGCTGACAAAGTGATTTTCTTGAAGTTAGGTATGACTACATTACTCCTGCGCTCAATATTTTCCCGAAAGAAATACGAAGTCCTTTGTTGGCATTATTGACTTCATCACCTGGCCCCTTTCTACCTTTCCATTCTTCTTATGATTTACTCTCCTCTACACACTCTTCAATCCAGCTGCATTGGCCCAGTTGCCATTCTTTGCACGAGACACTCTCTGTACATTAGCACTGGCTTTCCATTCCCCCAGGGCCCACCACCCCAAACCTGGAATGCTCTTCTACCTCAATTCTTGTCCCTGGCTTCCTCGGCTTTCTTGGAGACACAGCTCAAATCTTACCTTTTGCAGCAAGCCTTTCCTGCTGCCCCTTCACACCATCCCATTCTTCTAAGATCACCTTCCACTTATACTGTCGGTACAGAATTATTTGTCTGTCGTCTCCCCCATCAGAATGTGAGCTCCTTGAGGGAAGGCACTGAGTTTTTGCCACTTTTTGCATCCCCAGAGTTTAGCACCGAGTCTGTCATGTAATAGGCATTTAATTGATTATTGATTGACATAGGCACAAAAAGACATTCTTAAAAAGAAGCAAAATTCATTTAGAAATTAAAGAAGTCAGCAGAGATTACTTTTAAATTGAATATTATTTATTTATCCTGCATATCACATTACTCCTTTAATATATGTATGTATATATGTGTGTATGTATGTGTGTGTGTATGATTTATATGTGTGTTCTTTCATACAGTAAATTAAAGATCTGTGAATATATATTTGTAACCAGTTGTTCCAGGTATATACTTTTCCATTCCACTTTTAGTTCCCTAAGGGCAAAGATTGTATTGTTGTTTTACCTGTATTTACTGAATATTTGCTTTTAAGGATGATGATTTATGTATAATTGTATATTGTATAAGAATAAGTTACAAATTATAATTTTTTTTCTTTTTTTAGTTTTCAACATTCACTTTTATAAGATTTTGAGTACCGTATTTCTTTCTCCATGGCAGATAATAACATAGCAGTAGCTCACACAGAATGCCCAGAAAGACCTTCTTGGAAAAGCTATGCTTGTTAAGACCCTGACATTCGATGCCAGGTAAGGCTATGGTTTTACTAAAGAGAGCTGAGCATGAGTTAGAAAGGCATTTTCATTGTGGCACTTCATGAGAAATACCACAGCTTACTCCTGGCACATTTTCAATGTTACCCTCTTCTATTTAAAAAAAAAAATAGGGACTTAAGACTTCTGCTTGGAAAGCCCCAGAGGTGAGGGCAAGAGATTTGGAAGTACTTTTAGCCTGAGGTGGTACTTCCAAATTAACTAACAGAAATCATATTTAAAAAAATCACTTACTTGAATAGACTACCATGTATTAAAACTAAATTACTTAGAAAATAATATAATGTAAATAATATAATTC